GGACTCTGCATGACCAATGGAATCTAGTTCGGAATCCCTTGGACTCCCAAATTACTCTTCCTCCTTCCCTTACAGATGATTTGCATTGGTGGTTGAACCAGGACAACACAATGACAGGAGTACTGCTTCTTCCACCTTGTGCAGATTTGCATCTGTTCACAGATGCTTTTCTCCAAGGATGGGGTGTGTGGATCAATCAGCAGGAGGCTTCTGAACAATGGTCTCAGATTGAAAAGTCTTACCATATCAATATCTTGGAGCTTCTGGCAGTATGACATGTTTTGGATAATTTTCTTACTCTGGTATGGAACCACCTCATCAGATCCATTCAGAAAATTCCACTATTGTAGCTTATATCAGTCACCAAGGGGACACCCTTTTGTGGTCAAACAATGCTGCAGATAAGTCTCCTTGTATGTCATGCTTTGGGTGTTTTCAATCTCTTGGTGGATTGGCTTTTGAGACACAACCAGGTTTATCCCATGGAGTGGTCTCTTGACTCTCAGATTTTCAAGTAGCTATGCAATCATCGAAGTACTCCTCATCTGGATACTTTTGCCACTTTTCTTAACACTAAATTACCTCTTTTTTGGTCTCTGATTCCTCATCCCCAAGCCCTGGCTGTGGATTTTCTCAGTCAGGACTGGACCAACCAGTACCTTTATTTTTTGCCCTCCCATCCAACTCCTTCTGAGATTATTTGATTGCTCCTTACTGGCTGGTACAACCTTGGTTTTTTTGTCTCCAAACTGCCCACCTTCTGCCTCTTCCTCTCACTCCATCCCTACTCCATCAACCTTGGTCACTGGTCCTTCATCCCGCCCTTCACACTTTTTTTACTTCATGCCTGGAAATTATCAGGTCCCAGGCAAGGAAAGATTTGGATTGTCTAGGCACGACCGTTTGCCTTTCCTCTCTTGAGGTCTATCAACGTAAATGGAACCCCTTCTGCCATTGGTTGTTGAGTCAGAGTTTTTCCCCTTCTCAGCCAACTGTTCCTCAACTTATGGATTTCCTCACCTGGCTGTTTGATCATGGGGCTTCTGTCTCTTCCAGAGCTGTTTATTGAGCAGCCTTATCCAACACCTTCCATTTTCCTGGTACCATTTGGTGTTTTCTCTCATACTGTCTCTCTTTTATTGCATTCCTTCCAGATTTGTAGGCATCTGTGTCAAGCGTTTCTTCTGGATTGGAATGTCAATACTGTACTTCAATGCCTTACACTCCCTCCATTTGTACCTTTGTTCTTATGTTCCATGTTTCAACTATCTCATAAGACTTATTTCCTACTTCGTTTAACTGTGGGCATTTTCAGCCTGATATATTTGCCATTGATGTTTCATGCACTTTCTTCCATTCCACATATGTTCTCTTTTATCCAGATTGATCTTTTCTACCCAAAACTTTGGAGGCTAGTGAGGGTCATTTTTCCTTCTTACCAATTTCACTTCCATCCGGATACACTTTTATGTCCCGTACCCGCTCTTTGTTGTTACAGTGTCTACACAGCCTCCTTCTGTGGTTCCCATTCCTACCTTTACAAGTTTGGTTCGTCAACTGATTCGATTTCCATATTCTTCCATGTCTTCTTCTCGAAATCTGTTCCAGATGTCTTTACATCAGATCAGGCATTTCACCTTTGTCATCCATTGAAATAAATTCTTCAGTCAGGCATGTAGAATACACCTCATACATTAATCTCTCACTGTCTACATCAGGTGGCTTTTTCTTCCTTGTCAGAATACAACCTCCTGCCTCTCACCATCCTTCAAGCTTCAGTGCAGCTATGACTGGGTAAGTTATATTTTCTATAGATATATCCCTTCCAGTGGCATGTCCCAATTAGATTTTCAGATCCTGTCCAGGAGTGCTTCCTATCTCTAAAATCCACGCTATATGGCCAAGATGTATACCCATGGCCAATAATGAACTGTTTAGATTGGCTGTTCCACAAGATTGCTAGTAGGTTTTCCTTGTGATATTCCATTCAGTAGAGATTAGTGCAGTGGTGTTCTGCAGGTGTAGATGGTGTTTGATCCTTCAGTCATGTGCTCCACCTCTGTGCATTGGGTCATGGAGGTTAATGTTGCACCAAGATTCTGTGCAGTTCTATCCAAAGGGTGAGGTTGTATATCTTTTACAGAAGCAATCCACTTCCGTAAGGTGGGACTCGGAGGTTGATGTTGCACTCCAGCTTTTGTGTGGTCCTATCCGGAAAATGATGTTGCTTTGGAGTAGATCCGTCACATTGCAGTTCTCCCCTTTGACTGGGATCCCTCATCTTACCATCACTGGGATGTTGGTTCCCAGTGAGTGGTTTTGGATTAGAGCTAGACCAATCAACATAAATCCTCATACATGTGTTGGTTGTGTTTCCTCACCCTAACTCAATTTAGTAGTTTTGCCTCATGATCTCCACCTCCATGTGGTGTGTCCTGGAGGTTGATGTTGTGCGCACATGTGCTTAGCTTCTGTGTGGTCCTATCTGGGGGAGGATATTGCTTGAGCCAAAGGTTCTCCCCCTCGCATTCCACATCAAAGATCTTTCACTATCTGAGGCTGCTGTTGCGCAGTGGGGTATCACTCTGATTGGGTTTCATTTCATGTGACCTGCCACATTGGCACATCTCTTCAGATGTTAGGTCCCCAGATGTATGTGTGGTTGTGAATTTGGGCACATAAACCCCATTTTCTTAATTGGTTTCACAAGAATACGCTTCTATTCTACTCAACTTGAAGTGAAGACAATGTGGACACTCCTCCAACCATGGTTTGGATGTTGTATTCCCAATGCAGCTGGGTTTTGGGCTAAAGTTGACCGGCTGCATACAGTCTAATGCGCCTAGCCACTCTACACCTTGGAGCATGTCCATTTTAGTTTTCCCCATATTCCTGTCTGTGGATGGTTCTTTTACAGTCATTCTTCACCAGGATTGAGATTCTGGTGTGTTTTGGTTCGGATTCAAATCCACCCTGTTTTTCTCTCTCTTTTGGTTGTGCTTCTCCCACTTTCCATCTATGTGTGCAACATCTGTTTCCACACTAGATGCAGAATATACAGTGTACAGAAGTGATTTGGTCTCCTACATGTGTTCCTCTCCAAACGGGGATCCCACTTCATGGGTGTTCTTCGGATGTTTTCAAAGGATACTTCTTTATATCCCTCGCACTGGTTCCTTCACCTATTCAATGTGGGGTTCTAGCTATTCATGTGAGAATAGGTAAGGTACTGTATCTGAAATTATTATTTTCCTACACTGAAAACATATTTTGGATAGGTACTTACCTCCTCTCATACTTTCTACCTTTCCTTTACACTAAAAACCTTTCTTCTTATTCTCAAAGTGATAGTTCAGTATAATCGAATAGAAGTAGTCACATGCATCAAGAGGGTGTGTTGCACTCCTATTTATGGTAGGATGTTGCATGCATGATTTACATGCAGGATGCAGTGAAACACATTGATTGTGGGAGTTCAAGGCTTGTGGCATACGAAAAAAATTTTGCAAGTAGAGGACAGCACTGAACGAGAATAGCTATACATGTTAGAGGAGGTAAGTACCTGTCAGAAATATATTTTCAGTATAGGAAAATAATAATTTTTGTAAAACCATACAAAAATCATTAATCCAGTTTTCTAAATGATTCCTGACAACAGATTCCCAACACATTTCTAACAGTGGAAGTCACATAACAGTTCCATGAGGCTCCCACCTTTTTTTTAATTTTTCTGAAAATAGAGAATCAAATTGACAACCTTCCATTTGTCAAAAGCTTTTGTATTGTTAATACACATCTGAAAGACAGCCTCTAAAGAACCACTAAGTCTTTGCTAAGCTTCAGTATATTAGGACAAATCTATTCACAGCTGTAATCTCTGTTTTCAACAAATTTTTCAAGATTTCCTAAAGCAGGAACTTCTTTTATATAAAGTTTACTTAAGGAAAAAAATCTATCCAATTCGTAAATAAATTAATCAGCTTAAAATTTTCCTTTTCACTTTGATCAGTAACAACACTAGTAAAGAAACGTTTTAGCACTTCAGCTATCTTCCTTCTATAAAAAAGGTTCACTTCAAAATTTCTTAGGGGCAAATGCTATCTTTTAGTCTCTTTTTATTAACACAAGTGTAAAATCCCTTCCCTTTAAATCATATTTTATGTTTTAGCCAAGATGCTTTCATGATTTTTTTTAACCCTAACATTGAAGATAATACTTTTATGATTGTTCTTGCACAATTACTTTCTACCATATCTGCCTTAATACTAAGAATCAGGTTTAAAATACTATCTTTCTTAGTAGGATCTTTCACATACTGATCAAGAAAAAGAGTCCCCTAAAATCTCAAAATTATCCAACTTCATTTGACTAAGACAGGTTGACCCAGTCACTATAAAATTAAAGTCTCAAAATGTTAAGCTTTTTTTTATTGATAATGTGAACAACCCGTTTTTTTCCCTTTGTTTGAGGATCTCAACCCAAACATGTACTGCAGCTTTTTTCCAATCTCACAGGTATCACATCTTTATTAAAGTCATAGGCACATGGCTGAGAAATGTATTAAATATTTTGGGAGGTATATTACATTTTATATCCTAAAATAATTAGCTGTATAGATTATGCTAATTTCTATTTTTTGTAATTTTATATTGAAACATGGTTATATATATATACACACACATAGGTATAACAAAAGAAAGTACAAGTAAGGTTATTGAAAGATTTATTTATAATTTTATTCATGTTACAATATTCTTTGGCAAAAATAATTATATTTTCTTGCTGTATATTTTTTTACATAAAATTTCTTGGATTTTATCATGAGTATACATTTTACAGTTTAAACTTTCTTTGGTAAGCTCTATATAGTTGGTTTGATTATTAATTGCTTGAATATCTATGTAAGGCATTACTGTACTTAATTTTTTTTTCTGTTTTAATTCCTTTCATCAGAAAATTAGATAATAATTGTAGTAAAGTGATGCTGTATTATCTTCCAGGTTGTTGTTCGCATTTGCAAATCATGTCACTAAACAGATTTATGCATCCACGCAACATTTATCGAACTCCACCAGACTTTAAAGAACTTGCAGTAACATATCCTGAATTTCGTAGACATGTAAAACAAGAGCTGTCTGGAAAAATTTCACTTGACTTTCAAGATCCAGCAGCACTGAGAGCACTCAGCAAAACTTTGCTCCATAAAGATTTTGATCTAGAAGTGGACCTCCCATCGGATCGTCTTATCCCAGCTTTGCCTCAAAGACTGAATTATATATTGTGGGTAGAGGACTTGCTTGAGATTGTAAAAGAAGACAGTGCAAGTGATGTGTTGGAAGGGGTTGACATTGGTATGTACATAACAAGTTGGTATCCAAATCATTGATGCACAACTTGTTCTACATTTATTTATATAAACATATACAGAAAAGCTTTTATGTGTGCATATATTTTCACATCAACATCCAATAGTAATCCAAGAGTTTTAAATTTATGTTTTCTGTAGGTAATATGTTTTGGGTGTTCAATTAAAAATACAGATGAATGTCTTCAAAGTATTCAGCTTTTAACCCTAGAATTAACCTTTGATATAACTGATGAAGTCTAGATATTGGGCTTTTAAGTAGATTTTTCTAAACTTTTTATATTTTAACTTGCTTGTGGATTTATGACTATTGGTTACAGGGTCACTAATAATATACAAATCACACACAGTAATTTAAAAACACCATCAATATTTCATTTAATTACACTGATTACTGCTGGGATCCAATATGTATTTTACATAGAAAATGAGTAATTTTGCACAATTTGTTTTTCTTGATTCCTCACTGAGCATTGTTACAGGCAAAAGCATATGATGCAGTATGCAAACTCTACCTTTAGTGATTGGGATACAAATAAGTTGGTCATTGAGTATTAAACTAATTTATTTGAAGTTTTAGATAATTAGCTCTGCTTATATATATATATGTGTGTGTGTGTACATGTTTGGAAGTGAAGAATTCTGGTTAGTTGTTAGACTGGTAAGATAAAATTTGTCCATTTTCCCAAACAGTAGATCTTGATTTTGGATTTAGATTTAAAAATGCTTTTGACTACATATTAATTACTTATACAGCATCAGGAAGTAAATATAAAGAGAGTTCTGTTATGGTAATAGTTGTCAACTAACGTACTAACTTATGCACAAAGAAATGTACCTTATTTTTTGTGGATGTTCAACTACTTATATCCTGACATCTTGGAAGAAGTATTAATATTACATTATTAATGCTGTTTTATAGCAGATTTTCAATTGGATAGTTTAGGATTGACATAGATTAAACTTGATTCATTTTAAAAATAATTATTTTTCAATTTAATAAGAAAAATAAGAACTAAATCACATTACATTCACTTTTATGACACTTCATAAGTCCAAATAAATTGCTGCAGTTAACTGTCATTCAAATGTTAAGTAAAATTGAAATTTGTTTCACAGCTTTCATGATTCCATGGTCTATTCCTTCTCATAAACAGGTGTTTCCAACAAGGTACCTTACTTCTGCTCACATACATAGCCATTCTCGTTCAATGCTGCTCTCTATTTGCAAATTTTTTTTTTGCATGCCACAAGCCTTTCACTCTCATATACCCCTTCGGTTCACATGGTTTAACTGATTCATGCATGAAAATTGTCATGCGATATACCTTTACCAATAGATGCACTCCACACACACACCTGACTTTCTCTATGCTATTCTACGAAACTATCACTTCTCGTTTGGCAGTGTTTGTGTTCGGATGCTTTATCTAATGCTGTCTTCGAATTTTGAATTTTCCTACTTATTTTAAATTGTTATTTGTACCTAATTTCATTGTGGTATTATTTAATTCTCCCCCCAGTTACAGAACTTAATCATTTTTACATGCTTTTCTTTCTTTATTAAGACAGTTGTGTTTGGTTTTCATTTGCATTATGAATTCTGAAGTGCAAGTTACAACATCAGAGGTTGTACCTTCTACTAGCACATTTACTCAGGCTTCAGGTGGGAAGAACTCAACTTTGGAATTATGGGTGATTATTTGTCGAGAGATTGATCATTAATTAAGCCAACCTTCTTCTCCTGATGTTGCCCAACTTCCTCCAGAACAAACCAAAATGTTTTAGGACAACGAAGCTTTTGACAGCCTTTTTCCTCTGCCTGAATTTGCCGTGGATTCTGTTAGGCCTAATATAGCTTTTTTTGGACATAATTTCCAAGGCATGTCCTGTTTTATCCTTTTCCCCAATTTCTTATAATCCTCTACCTTTCTCATTACATGATACTCTTTCCTCTCAGTATATTGAGGCTCATGCTGAGGATTTTGTATTTCAGTTACGTGATGGCACGGGCATGTCTCACCCTCTGCAGGCTTTGGATCAGTTTACTTTAGCCTACCATCAGGCTGATACTCCATTCCTTGACTCTCAGCAATTGGAGTCCATTTTACCCATATGGGGGGGGCATATTTGTCCTGTTCTTTTGTCCCATGCCTAATTTTCTCCCCTTATCTTGCCCTCATGGTACTTGTCCACCATACCCTTCTTCTCTAAGGTGCCCAACCAAGATCCTGAGGGTTTTTTGGGGGATACATTTGCCATAATTACATCTTTCTTACCATATTTGTCAACTTTGGCTCTTTCTCTACACATGTGGTTCCTCTGGTGTTTGAATTTTTGGGGGAGAGATGGTTTTGTTCCATGTTCGTTTGCCTTCTCCTTATCTCAGGGACTTGCACCTGGCCTCTTTCTCCATCAGTCAGTGTTAGATCTTCCAGCGACTTTGAGTGGGATCTGTGAGACAGAAATTAACTCTTTCCTTGTTGGTTGTGCATGTGTTGGTCTCGCACAGAGCCTTGACCATTCCCTATTTCTGTTCCCTGTCATAATCCTTCCCAACCCTTACCTGTTACTTCCACTGGAAAATTATGTTCTCATTGTTTAATTTGATGCTGAGTGTCATGCTGCCAACAGTATTTATGACGACCTTCTGGGCTCTGGTCCAGTGGGGCTTGTTTATTCCAGTTTGTTCATCTATGTTTCTACTTTCTCCCTTGCACTAGTCCTTCCACCTTTTCAGTGTGGGATTCTAGCTATGTATATGAGCAGAAGTAAGGTACCTTTTCAAAGTTATAATTTTCCTACACTGAAAATATATTTCTGACAAGTACTTATTTCTGATGACACTTCCTGCCCTTCCTCCCCACTGTCCACTAGTGCTTAGGTTTCTGCTTAAACTTGAAGTCATAGTTAAGTTGAATAGCACAGAGGGAGTCACACAAGTCACATGTGTGGGGGTGTATCTACTGGTGGAGATTTGTTGCATGATAATTTTCATGTGTGAATCAGTTAAACCATGTGAATCGAGGGTGGTTGTGGGAATGAAAGGCTTGTGACATACAAAAAAATTTTGCAAATAGAGGGCAGCACTGAGCAAGAATAGCTAGGTATGTGAGTGGAAGTAAGTACCTGTCGGAAATATATTTTTAGTGTAGGAAATTATAACTTCTAAGTAGCTGGTTTTCATGGAGACGAACAATTTACATTATAACATTGGTATACAGTGCATAACAATACATTCAAAAGAAGTGGTTCGTAAACGAGTTTTAGCATTAATTAAAGTTTGAGAACTTACCAATCTAACCAATTTTTATATCAGAATGTTTTTACTATATATGTATATATAGTTTTTTCTTAACACTTTTAAAAATACCTCTTTTATTTTCCCATTATTTGTTTTTGTGGTAACAGGAACAGGAGCATCTTGCATTATACCCTTGATTGCATGTAGAAAAAACAAATGGAAATTTGTTGCTACTGAAGTTGATGCAGAATCCATCAGTTTAGCTCAGAAGAATGTAGATAACAATGGCTTAAAGGACTCCATCCAGAGTGAGTTAGTGCTTGATTTTATAAAACTTGGTGAACTTGGATGATTGAAAGTTTGTAACACCGACTATTTGAAATATAATTGTAGCTTGATTGCTTTCTCTTTTTTTTTTTTGTTTTTTTTGGGTGGGGGGGGGGTAGTTTTGTTTGTTTCTCATGAATACCTTTTGTGTGACAATAGAGAGGTTATTATTTCGCCTTGGTGTTTATTTTTGAAAATGTGAATAAAATGAATCAAATACTTTAAGGTTAATTACATCTTCACAAATAAGCATATAACTTGCTTTAATTGTTGTGGTGTGCACATATATCTATCTCCTATATGTTGTTTCATATCATGCAAGAGGTTTTTATTTTTCTTAAGTCTAATTAAAAGTATTATCTACATTCAATTGAATTTGTGGTCTAACCCAACCATTAGTTTCTGTAGCAGGGTTCTGTCAAGTAGGTTATTTGTTATTTCATGGGAGAATTGTATCCTACATTGCACTGAGTATATGGGATTGCTTTACAACTGTCACATGGAGCAGAAATGGATCCAGATACTTGTGACACTATACAGAAAGATACGTATCTGCTTTGAAAGGGCCAAGACTTGCTGTAAAGTGCTGTATTCTCATATTTGTTCTTTGTTTTATATACCTACTATGTATTAATGTATTTTTAATCTAATTTTTTCTTTTAAATTTATTTTAGTTTCATTTATATTCTGTTTATCATTTGTTTGCTTTTTACTTAACTTCACCATTTCTGACTGGAAAATTCTTGAAGTAATTGTGGAATGTAAATACATACATGTAGTGTTTGTCAAACTGACTTCTTCCATTTTTTTTCTGTTAATGTTCTTGCACTAACATTTTATCTAACCAAAGCTTTGAAACTTATTATGTGGGGCTCATTTACTTGTGTGCCATTATTTCTCTAAACTGGGGTTACCTCACTGTTACCATCTATCTCATCCATATAAAACAGTACTTTAAAGAAACTCAGGAGATAGTTACCTGTACTGTGTGTAATTTTGTATAATTCTAGCAGATATGCAAAAAACATGCACTGAAATCTACAAGTCCACTTATTTTAGGCCTACAATTAATTAAGCCTTTATTATGTGCAGCATATAATTGATAAAGAGATAAATTAACCCTGTTTTTGTTTTAGTTTAGTTAAGGCTAAACTTTACTGTACTTAATAGTATCAATAAGTAAGCTTATAATATTATTCTACGACCTAACATTGACCTCTTTAAATTCTTTGATAAAATTTTAATATGTTATACAAAATGTCTACTGAAGTTTAATTACATTTGTCTTTTGCTTACATCTGTTGAAAAGAACTGTGTGCACATGTGCAATTAGACAGTAAGGTGCATGCAAATTTTCAAGACAGACAAAAACTGAGTATTGTTATAATAGGTATTGATAAATTGGTTTATGGATGATTAAATATAAAATGTTTTAGTATTCTTACAGCTGTGTTGGTCTTCTTTTGAAAGTTATCCTAAAGTGACGATACTGTATATGCACTATCTAATTATATAAAATACATCATACTCTTCCTCTGCTCTGTTTTATTCCTCAAAAGTTCAGTGTTTTAATTTTGAACTTTAAGACAATCACTTTTAATTATCTTGTGTGGATTACTTATTTCCTGTTTCCTCATATAAGAAAAATAATATTCAACTTGCAACACCATATTCAACCTTAAAATAAGGTGCACACTTATCTAATTTCAAATAACAATAGTAGTCAAGCATATCACTGAAAATCTTGAGTTCAGTGTTCAAATTTTGTTGTTCTGCTATATTTAAAGCCTGATGAAAGAAGGCCCATCTTCTAGAAACAATTCAGTTATTAGATTCATTTACTGTGATTCTACATAATTTTCACATGTTATAATGATAAACTGTTTATATATATATAGTCATAGGAATAAGAAAATGTTTATATAATTAAATGATGAAGCTTAAACTCTTTCAGTGATGCATAAACTGTTTACATAGTTTATTTTCCTGCCAACTAAATTTAGCCAATTATTAGATAGTTACTCTCTTGATAGAAAAAAAATATTTAATATTTTAAGTATTGATAACAGAAAATATAAATTTATGTGTATGATAAGAAATGTTATGTCCATTTGTGCAAAATTTTCTTCTCTACTTCATAGTAATTCAGACAGAATCTGGTTGCGTTTTGAAGGAAGTTGTGGAAGAAGTAGGAAAAAATTTTGATTTCTGTTTTTGTAATCCTCCTTTCTTCCGTGATCAATGGGAGGCTAATCCAGAAGGAAAGTCTCGTACTCCTAATCGTCCACCACCAATTTCTGCTAATAGTGCCAGTGATGTGGAAAAGGTGACTGAAGGAGGGGAAGTAGAGTTTGTTCGAAAGATGATCCAAGACAGCCTGGCCTTAGGCACTCAAGTCAGGTATAGTGATTCTTATGTTTTGCAAATGAAATCTTTGTGGATGCTGATTGAAATGAAGGATGTATTAATATATTGTTTAAATATGCTAAGATTAGTAATGAAGTTTGCTATAAGTTGTGTGCAGGTATGTATATATGTACTGTGTGTGTGTGTGTAAGTATAAAAAAGTAATTTAATATTGGGGCATACAATGAAGCCAGTAATGGTTAAATGGACTATATTCACATTGAAAGCTATGTAAGCATATGTTGATAAATAATATATTACCATTCCAAATTATGAATTTTAATGAAAGTGTACCAAAGAAGTAAAACATCTTGATGTAGAGCAAAGTGTTCTAAAAACCTCAAGTGTGTTCAAAACCACAGTTTACCAGCATCAGGGCCAGTGATCTGGAAGAAGGCAGACAGTATCACACAGAAACTTTATTTCAATTTCAAAGTTAGCGTTGATTGGCTTGACAAATTATGGGTGTATTGTGGTTTCGAGTACAAAGCTGTTTTCAGAGAAAGTGCTGATATTAAAGAAGCTGGTTGTAATGCTCAGATTTAAGATGTTTTGTCTCAGATTCTTCAGAACTACAATGAAGATGACATTGTTAATGCAGATGAAACAGACAAGACTACGACAGTTAAATCTGACACTTGCTATTGTGGCAAAAAAAGTAAAGAGCATGTCACTCTGATGATGGTTGAAGCTAACATATCAGGTACAGAAAACTTCCCTTTCTTCTGTTTGGGAAATCTAATAAGCCATGGTGCCTTTTAAAAGTCAAATCTCTTCGTCTTGCATATGATAGCAATAACAAAGCCTTAATTATATCCATACTTTATTAATCCAGGCTTTTGAAGCTTGACAACTGCTCAGCTCACCTCAAAGTGCTAACAAGAGAACTGGAGACTATTAAAGTTATATTTTTTGCCTTTTAATGAGATCTCCAAGCATAGGCTGTAGGATCATGGTGTTGTTAAAATTTCAAACCTTATTACAAGAAGAGCATAGTCATTAAAGTTGTAGATTTTTTTAAATGATAAAATAATAATCTATTATCATGCTTCTTCACTGTGCAAGTGAGATAGAAAAAGCATGGAAGGATATTAAACCCATTACTGTAAAACTTGTGCTTTGGGAAAGCCAGTTTTGTGACTGAGAACAGAAGAGAAGACAGAAGTGTGGAAAATGATGACATTCAAGGTGACTGGCATTTGCTTCTGGAAGCACTCAATAGATCAAAAGAAGTTACATTTGAAAACTAAAATAACATCATTACCAATTACCTGACTTAGAAAAATCTAATCCTTTATGAGTGAGAAATGTTAAACTGTTGAGGACGAGGCTGATGATGAAACAGAACTGGAAATCCTTGTTTCCATCTCAACACTTGGAGAAGTGTTTCTCTACTTCACTGTGTGGATGACTGGATGTTGAACAAATACCTTAAGTCATGATGGCAGTCAAAGATAACAGACTTTCTTTAACTAATTTTTTTTTGTTTTTTCATTTCATTTTTCTTTTTGAAAATATTATGTTATATGTGAAAACTTAACAATATTCACCAAATAAATATCTATAAAGACCATCCAGCTTATTTACTTATGTAAATACATGTAAATATGTACCCTTTTTTAACATCTCCTTACAAATATACTTGCACCTTCATAAATTAAATTTTCTATAACTAGAATTTTTTTCCTGTCACTTGGGGATTCAGCTTAGGGATTAGGGATGTTCTACTGGCAGTGAGCATGTAAAATCCTCAAAGGTCTCATGTAATAGTTAAAATAATAACCAAATTTACAAGGTAGTTTGAATGTGTTATTTGAACTAACTTTAAGAAAAAAATATAGTTATTTCACATGACATTAGTTTGATCAAAATTTGTATTTAAATCATTCTGTTGCTTTAACTAACACTAGAATTGAAGTAAATTTTTCAAATAGAATGGAAGCATTTGTTTTTTATATTTACTTAGAATACGTTCAGTTTTTAAAACACAGTTTCTATAACTTTTCTAATTTACAAAAACAGTCAGAGTTTCAGTATTTTAAAACTGTATTTTAAAATGCACTTTACAAGAAAGTTTAAAACATTCATTTTCCATAATCTTTGAGTAATTCTTAATTTCTGATTGTATACTTATGTTACAAAATAATATGCATTAATTTGAAATGAATATTTGATTCAAACTAATAACCAATTCCTCTGTAATCACCCTGTGGGGTCAATTGTAAATTTATTGTCTTACAACAATAAAGTCCAGTGTTTGATTCTCTGCAGTGGACAGAGCATAGATAGCCAATTGTGTGGCTCTGTGTTAAAAAAAAAAGAAATACCCCAACAATTCCTCTGTACTACATACTAAATCATATTATAAAATAATTTTTGGTAATTTACTACTAGTTTGATCTTTTGTTTGTTAAAAGGACTTTTAATTTAAGCCTATCAAAATACATTAATCATGTGTTTTCTTTTTTCAGAGTATACACCACAATGCTAGGAAAAAAGAAAAGCTTAAAGATTATAAAGAATGAGCTGAGAAAACAAAAGGTAGAGCAACCTAAAAGTTACTCATTTTTTTATCTTTCATAGGATTATTTTAATTTCATTTTAATATTTAAAGTATTTAATTTTTTGAAGAGAAGTTATCAAATTAGAAGACAAGTGAATGCACAACCAATATGGAATATAGTTAAAGATTATAGTTATGATAAGTAATCAGGACTCCTTGTTTTCACTTTTTTACATATTTTCATAAATTATTTCTCTCATTAACAAAATATCACATTTAATAAATTTAAACTTGAATTTGGTTTCATTTAATCTTTTATCCTTCTGTCACATTGCCACTTTAAATCACTAGTTGCACTATGAAAGTCTGTTGTTTATGTTTTGAAAGAGAGAATGCTAATCTCTTCCTTGTTAGAATGGTTGACACCTTTAATCAGACAACTATTTATTTAATATAAATAGAAAAGTTAAGTACATTTTGAGTAAGTCTTTTTTTTTTAAGTTTAATGCTATTGCCATGGGTATCCTTTACTGTGCATGGCACGAGGTTTTAGTGTCTTACATTCAAAATTTTATTAAATGACTTTTTGTTTATGTTATACAAATTAGAATAGCATAAAATCTTAGCTAATAATTCATATTTTAATAGTATATAAGTTTGAAGTTCTTAATTCTACAAGGCAATATTAAAAAAGTTCTGAATTTCCTCTAGTGTGACCCACATGACACATTTTTGTTTAGCATGTCATCTTTCCTATTTTAACCACCACCCCTCGAAAAAGTGCGAAATTAAACGTAAATTACTCTCTATAAAATCATCATTACTCAGACAAACCATAATTTTTGTAGTCTTCAATTTTGTTTGGTTACAAAGCTATCGAATAGAAAATCAGACCTCTCCTGCCACACCTTCCTGTCACACCCTCTCTTTCATAATACCTTAATAGGTATCTTTTATGTTTAATTATATATTACATATAACCAATAGAAAGTCAAGTAGACAAGGTTTTCATCTATCAAATGACATATTGTATAACGTTATGTTCTGAATGGTTAAATGTCAATTTCACTCAGAGTACCAACATCATTCCCGTGAGAAAGTTAAGGACTAGCTTGGATGAATTTGTAATAACTCTTGTCGCATAGTCAGAAGGTCAAAACAATTTTCAGAGATAAAGGAATTTGTATACTTTTTGCATGTTATTAGTCTATATTCTTTGGTGCATTATTTAATTAAATAAAAATTTTTAATTGCATTACTATTATTTGTTTAAAAAATTAGGGTTAACTCTCTTTGACAATCAACAGCAAGAAAAAAATAAGATTGGTTAATTATTTTATTTCTTGTTTTTCATGTCCATTCTTTAGGTATAATTATAAAAGGAACTAGAATTTATAAATATGGATCCTATTAGGTTAGTTAAGATTAGATTAGGTAAAATAAATAATAATAATATTATAATAAAAATATTTTACGAGGCACACATGCGAGTAGCTCATAGTAGCTCATGGGTAATGTAATTCTTGGTTGAGACCAATTTATGTCTAATGAATATAGTTAGTTCTCAGTAAATTATAAGATACTTGTGTGCATTGTTCAAATACAATAAACTTGACAATAATATTCAATAAATAGGAATTTGATTCACCTGGATATTTTGCTGTCACCTTCTGTACTTGGTAAATCTAACTAAGCTTATATGATGTCTTGTCATAAAAAAACGTTTCCAAAGCTTTCAAGATAATTTAATTCAGTACAAAAATAGTTTAAGGAATAAATAGACTATCTAAAGGAACTATAAAAATTCATAGATTTGTGGTTTGTTCCTTGTTCTAAACTTTCCATTAGCTTTTGTTGTTGTTCTCTGCATATGTCTAATCACTTTCCCACAAAACAATGAATTTCTTCTTCTTTCACTTTATTCATTGTACATTGATGTAAATAGTTTATAAATTGCCCTATTCAATGGCTTATAAACTTTTCCTATAGCTAATTTCAAAGCTAATCTTCATTAGTTGTTGTTTAGATCATAATAATGTTGGAATGATAGTCTGAAGTAATTAAACCAGAAGAAGAAAAAAAAGAAAATAATTTGAAAAACAGGAATGATAACTTCTTAGAAAATATAATCCTGTGATTTTGGATGTGCATAAAAATTCTAATAAAAAAAAATCAATAAGTGTGTTGTCTGTGGGCAAGAGTCCTCGGTGCTGCTCAGAAATGAAAGTTTGAATTTTTTCTTTGTGGTGTATGATAAATAAATGTTACAAAATGACAGAATGTCAATTCTAAAATGTTTTTGAATTACAAATTTTTTAAATAATTAGAATAATTATTTTTAACTGAAATTTTCAAGTCTAATATATAGGTATGCATTTGACATAAAATATGCTCTGCAGTCTATATAGGGTTAATGGTGTGATGTAGAGGTTTAGTATGTATGTTATATTAAGGTTATTTTGGAACCTCACCATGTCATTGCAGTTGATTTCACCATCTTTTATCTTGTTCTATCTGATTACCATGTACCTTGACAACAGCTTTGCAGCATAGTTTCCATTGCAGGAAGCTCCATCATAAGGTTGCCATGCCCAAAGCACATTTCTCCTCCTTGAATATTTTCCATAAGACTTTTAGTATATATGGAAACTTGTATCACAATGCCTGTTTCAAAAGTAAGATAGCACAAATCCCAAGGCATCACATGGCGTGACTTAATTGGTATGCCCTCATATGGAATGACATGAATAGTCATTTCATTCTCCAGCTGCTTGAGATATGTAACTATTGAATGAATATGTTGAGGAAGCAATTTGTGTCACTATTCCAGATGGAGATCCCTTTTTGAATATATTATGCATTGTTGACTGGGATACATGAATGGCTTTTACCACTGACCCTCTTGCTTACCACAGCTGGGATATTACTTATTGCAGGTCTCATTGTGGATGTTCAGAATCAGTGTTAAAACCATCAATAGTTCTATTTAAAATAAGTTTCAATGGAAATGTTTAGAGAAAAATGGAACTGTGTAAGTTGGAAAAAGATGAAATATACACATTTCTTTCCAAACATATTCAAAAATGCATCTTAGGGTATGAAAAAAAATGAAATAAGTTTCAGTTTGAAGGACACTTCTTCTGAACCCTGCTTGAAGTCTAGATGACCCTCCAACCAAATTTTATTCTGTATGTATGTACATTTCAGCATTAAGGAAGATTCATAAATCTTTCTCTTTTTTTTTTTTTTTGCCAATGTGGTGCCATGGCTAAAAAAAATTCATATGCTTCAGTGTTCCATAACTTAAGATTATGGTTATTCATAATGCATGATATTTTGAATAAATTTGTAAAAGATTGAAGTCTTTGTGATATGAAAACATTAAAATATTATAATAGTGTTTTAGATACATTTTTACAAGTTAATAATATATTTTTATTTAGCACAAGTCAGGTGGCTTATAAAGCTCTACAGTTGCTTCTTCCTTTGAGAGGTGTAATGTGGGAAAGAGTTTTTTAACTCAAACCTTGTTTCTCTTAACTACTTTTAATATGTCTATGAGTACTTTTGTTTAAACTTCAAGGAGCAACACATGTAGTACTATTATGCTCTGAGTAATTTATTTTCAAGACATTTGACAAATTTTAAACTCAGACCAATGTCTTATTTGGTATAAATGGTGGTCTGTTAATGTTATTCTGTTACATATTTGGAAAACTTCATACTTTTTTTCCATTCTATATCGGGACTTTCTGGACTCTTCAAGTTTGTGCATTCTTCTTCTTTGTGTAAATTCTTTTAATATTATTATAGAGATTTTTTTTCATTAGGAAGGTTGGTAGTTTACCCATTCCAAGATATAGACACTTTTTAATTATTATTAGTACAACTTCAAATTACCTCATGGTTTACACACAGTTTTCCTGCTTACTTAACTGGTAAAACATCAGATGTAAGGAAAAAAATCCTCTACAGAGGTCAAGCCATAATGTGATTGAAGAGGTCATTGATACTGCTTTTTTCATATTTCTGAAACTAGTGTAACTGAAAAGTTTCAAGCATTTTGAAAATAGATGAACTGGTATTTAAATTATACTTTGCTGTAACAGTTCAACATTCATGCTTGATTATCTGTGTGCATGGATGGGGTCAAAGTGCACATGACAAGACCTTTTACAGAGTGCCATTCAACATAGTAAAATGTATTTTATGTCAGAGCTGTCAACTATTCATTTTGCCCTACATTACTGACTTAGCAATGGTTTGTAGTAGACGAGGGTAAATACCGGATGTAATATACAAGGATACTGAAAAAAGATGTAGATGCACATTTCGGAGAATTTAGAGGTAATGCAAACTGTATACTCAGAATCTGAGTTCATCAGTTTACACATGTCATGAGTGCAAGTACTTTTATAATAAATTGATTTTTTTGTGTACAAAAGAGTTGTACGTTTTACTAAAAGCTTCCCAATTTCATGCAGATACACATAGTAAAAATCAGAATTATAGTCAAAATTTTTTCTCCATTAGGAGGTCAGTTATTCTTCACTTTAGAATAACACATTATTTAATATAAACCTATCCATCTCAAATGAGAATAGAATAACTGGAGATAAGTAATTTCTGGATGCTCTTAAAATTCCCCAACTTTTTCAAACCTGATTTCACAGATGTTTAAAAATGTATATGAATATTGACTAACGTTGTTCTTTTTTTTATGTTTCTAAGGTTGAACAGTTTACAACCACAGAATTCTGCCAAGGTAGAACCATGAGATGGGGAGTTGCATGGACATTTATGAAAGGGGTTGACATTAAGAAGGTAATTTTAATGTACATACTAAAAGAATTTTAATCTATCAGACTATTCTGTTTCATTATTAACAATTAAATGCTATCAAAGAAAATCTTTGTGTATTTTACTATAAAGCTATAACACTTCATATTTTTTAGTATACAATATAAAAACATGTACAGAGTTTTAAAAAGTAATAAGTTTTTATAATAGTTTGACACCATTATAGATTAAACATTTAATGTTACTTGTATCTTCTGAATCATACAGTTAGCATGAAACTTATTTCTTGGATTGCCTAACAGAATAGGAGTACATTTATTTCTAGCTAAGCATAAATTTTTAACTTTTAAAATCAGTAAATGGCAAAATTATATTTCCAGGCTAATGCCATATTACATATTTATTTGTTGCAAGCTTAGGCATTTTATCTTCTTCATGATTAAATTTGAAAGCTTGCAGTAAGTAAATATACGATTTAGAATTAGTATGGAAGTGTAAGTTTATACTGAATGACATTGTTCTCCTTTTAGCTGTTTTGCAGTTCCATAAGTTTATATGAAGTTTGTTTTTTAATCTCTATATAAACATATCTTTGTATATATATCATAAAAAATATATTTGGAACATAGTTGCTTAAAATATGATTAGTAATAGCTCTCTGCTGTTAATTTCTAATAACTGAATGTTTGTGGATTAATTAGCATCACTGAAAATTAATTTTTACCCTATAAAGTTTAAATAGGTAAAGCAACATACATATATATCCCTAGAATAAAAATGACAGCTAGATTCAACAATATTTTGGGTAGGAGTGTAGGCTTAACATTTTTTTGGTCATGTGAGGTTAGATTATTGAGATTGTGCATGTTACTTTGACCAGTTGGTGAATTCCTCTACCTTGCCCCTAGTTGTAAATCTCCTATTAGAAGGTGCTGCATCAACATCAAAAAATTTCATCAAAAAGTCCTGTAAATTTGTTATTGGTATTTAAAGCTTTTGATTGGTACCCTTTATATCATATATACATATATATGTACAAATTTTCTGTCATCTGATGAGTAACATCTTCTTACACTTGATGTAGGCTCCTACCATGAAGCATGAGAAGCCAAAGCCACCACTGATCTATATTATTCCAAATGAATTAAAAGAAACAGAGTACAGTCTTTCTGAAATTCTAAGCAAGATAAAAGGTTTGATGGAAGAACTAAAGGTAAAATAATTTTACCATATTAAATAAAAATATTTTTTATGATACAGATATGTAAAAAATATCCACTTGTTCAAATCCTGGAATTACCAAATTTTGAGTTTGGGATAGCCCGAGGCTAGTGTGGTTCTTTTTTTGCATTATTAAAGTTTACAAAAATATTACCCTTTTTTTTAAATTGTTAAGTAATTACTGTTATTGACATGTTTGTAAGATTGGTAGCCTGTTTATCAACAATAGGCTAATCCATTGTAAGCTTGAATAAAAAATACAAACATATAGGTCACTCAGTTACTGACTTGTGAATTAAAATGTCCAATTATTTAGTTTCATATTCATAATAATTTTTACATGATTATATTTTGATGGATTACAATAGTTATTTAAATGCAAAGTTGTATTTATACAAGGTGAAACAGCTGTGTTTGGGCAAAATGACTGAGACCATTCACTTGGAACTCTATAGCCTATGTACAACTCAGAAGGGGGAAAACTTTTTGAACGTTTGTCCACTGTGTGACCCATATATTGTATAATAAACCTTATTATTTACAATACTTCAGGAATATCAGTCTGTCATATATGCAGACTGGTTAACTTGCCCATAGATTTTATATATCTGCATCACATGTGCTGAAATAAATCATATTATTTTAAATCTTGTAATACAGTGCAAAAAGTAATTGCAATGAATATACACATAGATATTTGCAGTGTGTAGTAATGAAGTCAATATAGCAAAAAAAAAAACAGTTGGGCTAGAATGTTTCTCATGCCTACTAGCTTGGGAATAGTACATAAAAGAATTTTTGTACCATTGTGGTATGATTTATTTAATAGCCTCATGTTAAAATTGAGAAGAAAATGTTTCTTAATGAAAATATGAATTATAACAACAAGTAAAAATAATGTTTACATTTATTATTTCATTATATATTATAAAATCATTTTTATTTTATAACTATTTGTTCCTTACTAAATAAACTTGAAATTTGAATTGATTTACTATAAAAATGTTTTCAAAAAACTTAATTGTTTTTCTGGCACCTGGAAGCAGAGAAATCTTACTTAAATACTTTATAGTCTACTGCTTTGACCCCTTCTATGATTTGCCTGAGATAACTCGTGTGTCCTTTGTGTTTCAAAGAGTATTTGCCAGAGTTAATGCAGGAAAACTTTTTCTTGCCATATTTATAATTATTTGCTTGAATTTATGTGCATGTTATAGTGTATTACAATCAGTGCTCACTAGTTGGTGTTGGAAATTCTGTTTGTGTTGATCTTTATCAGTTTTATTTTGAATTATGTATCATAAACACTGGAGAAAAGCATTCTTTATTGTAGTTTCATTGAAGAAATATCTATCGCGTATAAATCCAGATAATATTTATTTATTGAGTATATTTGTGCAGAAGTATAATAAGAGATCATAAAATAACTTTTCTTTCATTAATATATTGCAATCAAAAATGAAATAAAAAGATTTTTTGTTCTTATGTCCATATTCTAATTTCTAAATTTCAGCATTCTACAGAGAAAATCATTACTGTTTGTGAATTTCTTGAATTTTTTTATGATACTGTACTTTCAGAAGGAAAGTCATAACAGTTTGAAACACAGTATTGCTAACTTGACCTTAACAATTGAATACAAGTGTAGTTTTATTGATTGTAGCTAGTCACTGATTCTCAACCTTTGTTGTCATGGTTGGATATAATTACCTATATCTCAACTTTAAGAGGTTGTAGTCTAGCGATCTAAACACACAATGAAAGATATTTTTCTATTTTTTCCAACTGTATAAGTTAATATGGCTTCCATTTCAGCAGAGATTCATGTAGAGATCAGAACAATGTGATAAAAGCTTAGCTTGTTGATATGTTGCTAGAAGAAAAGATGTTTGTGAACAAGTTCCACCTCAATTATAGTTCAGATTTTTTTTAAACCTTGTGAAATGCTTCCTTTATCATTTTATACTTCATTTGAATTATAATATTGCTGTATGATAGGAAAATAAATGTTTTTTTGTGGAACAAGATGAGGTAGGATTAATTAAATCATTTTGCATTCAACCATACCTAGTTTTGTCTTGTGGACAAGCCCACTGTGTTAGACCTTAAGTCATTGATTGAATGGGCAAAGAAAATCACTTAAATATAAAAAATATATAAATGAATATAAAATGAGTTGCTTGGAGGAAAATGGATTTAAATATCCTGAGTTTTTTTATTAAATCAACCATATTAATCATGATTTTTTGCAGAAAAAACAAGATGATTTTTTTACCTGACTAAATATTTTGATTAAAATTAATGAAAATAACAGTGTGCAAAAAAAATAAAAAATTGCTAAAGCTATTTTAATCAGAGCAAATCTGGATACATTGCTCCTGCTTCTTGCATGTGCTTTGCAAGACATTTCAAGTTTTCAAAACAAAACTTCCTACCTTTTAGTGTCCTGAATTGCTTTGTGGTCGAGTGTCATTTGCAACATATTCTGACTTTATTATCATTCCATTTAATGAAGAATTGATTTATTCTCTTCTCGTTGCAACATAATGTAAATGAAAACTTGCCAATACCAAAATTTTGTAAAGTCATCATATACCTGATTCTTCGAGTACACAAAAGAAAGCACCAGCCTTTTTCAGTTAAGGGGTGTTAGAGAGTAGGCATGTATGTGTAGAAGAAAGAGAGAGGGAGGAAAAGAGCACAAATGAAGGCTCCACAAAGTTTTAAAATCATTTTAACACATAATTGATCATGGATAGAATGATTAGGAGAAGTCCTCACATGGAGAAGAAACATAAATAATAGCCCTCTTGATCACGCATTACCAAAAATTCTGACTATTTCAATTTGAGACCAAATGGTCGTCTTGTTTGTCAAAAATTTGTATATTGGTCACTTTGACCACATAGCCCATGTTACTTCCCACACAGTTGTATCTGTCCGAATTTGAAGCTTTAAAGATGTGGCCATGCATAAGAAATAAACCCACAGAGAGAGAAAGAGAGAGATATTTGCACTTGTATATGTAGATATTAAATGAAACCTTCTTATTAACAATTTAAAAGAAAAGTTGGTTTGCTTATAAGTTTAGTGTGATAAAAAAGTTTTTATTTTATGAGTTTTGATAAACAAATTAAGTTTTTTGAATGCAAAGATAAGATTTATAATTTTACAAAATAAAAATTTATAGGAAAGTTTTACAAGAATGTAGGAAGACATTAAAGCCAGTAATTAAAATCTTTATTTTTAATTGCTTTAAAAAAAAGCATATCACAATGACACCTTTTTGTATTTTAAAAGCAGCAAATCTATACAAACATAATATATGAAAACAAGATATTTACAGATGCTATATAACTTGTACAAACTTCACTCAACAGGTTTGTTGAATTGATGCATCTAGGCATAGTAGAGTTAAATAAAATCAAGTTTTATTATGCATACAAGTGCATGGTAATGATAAATACTTTTAAGAGCAACTGCATCAGAATGTTTTTTATGGATTTTTCTTGTAGGATTTTTTAAAATTTACAGTCTTTGTAGCTGTATGTACATATATATGTATATAGTTAAATCGGTAATTGTAAATAATGAAGTTATCCTCAAATATTTTTTCTTTTTATGTATAAATTCAGATAACGTATCAAGTGACACATGAAGGGAAGCACTCTGTACATATTTCACTTCATGCAAATGAAAACACATGGTCACATCAGCGAAGAAAGAAAAGGAAACTGATTCATAAGCAGAAACTTGCAAATTCTAAAGAAGAAAAAATCCAACACATTACAAATGCTCCCATTTCAGAGCATAGCAAACAGGAAACCTTAGGCTCTTCATCCCTCCTAACTGCAGGAAATAATCAAGATTCTGGTGAAATCAAAACCAAAAGTAAAACAGAAGAATATACAAAAAAGATATGTGAGAAAGACAATGATTCTTACACAGTAGAAGATTCTAAGAATCTTTTTTCCAAAGACCTAAATGGCTGTAAGACTCACATGGAAAAGGAAGAGACTTCTTATGACATCCCTGAAGATCAGCTGTTTACTAAAGACAAACACTCATTTCAGTCTTCATCTGATGTGAATTCAGTAGCCCTGGAAAACACTAGTGACAGCAAAAGGGAAGAAGAAAGTAACTTCTTAAGTCAACAAGCAGCCAAGAAACAAAAAATGGAGAGCACTTCATCTGAAGCTACAGATTCTTCAGGTAAGGAGGGTGAAATATCCACAAAACGACCAAGGGTTGGTGGTTTAGATGTTCCTGGATCATATTTGCTAAATTGTGATCTTCAACTAAAAAAAGAAGGGAACATGATTATATTAAAACTACTTTGTAAAGATGGTGCTTCTGGCAGAGAGCCAATGCACCAGGTTTTACAGTTTATAAAAAACAGATTAAAATAAAAGGGATTTATCTAGTATGTTTGTTCTCATATTTTGCATTATGAACTTTTAAGTAAGTTTGGAAAGCATTTACATATTCAGTTGTGATGTCTTATTATAACACAAAATAAAATGTTTCAGATTTTTAACAGGTTTCCAAAATAGGAAAAGGATAACAATTACGTTTGTCAGCACTAAGAGGGCTAAATAATGGATATATATTTTGCAGTAGTTTTTAAGATACTTTAAATATTGATAAAGCACCTTAATGCTATTATGGTTTGATTTTTTTTTTTTGCATTTTTTATGATAAGGAAGGTGTTGTCTAGTAGTTAGTATGTCACACGACAGATTGTGAAGTCCAAAGTTCGAGCCCAACATTTGCAGCTGTGCGAGTCTTATAACTGTTACAATCAATTCTGTTATTTGTTTGAGAAAAGTTGCAAGTGCTGCTGACTGTTTACCCTCCTCTGAATTAGTGATGGCTCTGTCTGTACCTTAAAGATCTAACTTAGCTGATCAGCCCATATGCCACAGTAAGTGCCATTCAGGGTGAAAATACCAAATTTGATTGACTTCAGCTTAAGTTAACTCAGTTGGTAGAATTAAATATCTATAAACAAATAAAAAATTCAGCATCTATCAAAATCTGTAAACTACTTCTCTAATTCTCCTCTTACTGAATAGGTTGCTTCATGACAATAAAAGAAATGATTTCTTGTTGTGTGATGACTGACTTCTAATGTGTGTGTGTAATTACAGTAATTTAACAAATGTGCAGTTTCTAAACAACAAAAAAGTCAATTTTATTATAAACAAAGTATTTAATAAGACTTGGCAGTTTTTCAAAAGCAGAACTGCAGTAAATTGTAATTGAATTTTCATCATCACCCATGGATATATTACAATAGTTTAGTTTTATTTATCCTCACCTGTCTCTTCATTTTTAATAATGATATGAGAAAATATGTATTCCGTGTCAGAGTTGTCTGTATTGATAGTTTAACCATATCTGTATACGTGCAAGTATCATGGAAGATTAATCATGTTATGTTAACTACAACTAACAATCTTGACATGTTTGTTGTTCATGTGAAAAAATATATTGTTGGTATACCAAAAATTGTTTGTTGATAACCTGCAAGGCTAGAAAATACTTTGTAGTAAAATTTTCTTTTCAGCAGCACCCAGGAAGAAAACTTTTTTCTTTTGAAAATACATTCTTATGTAATTTGACACATTTTCATCTGACAAGATACAAATCAAAATGACACTATATAAATATAAAAATTTTATTGGCTAAAAAAGCTTCAACAAGCACAAATATTTTAAAATCAGAAAAAAAAAGTTTTTCAATACAGTATGAAAAAAGCCTGCACTAAAGTAGCACTGCTAAACAATGTTGCACTTAAAAAGTCATGATTAATGTATTTGCGACTTTGTCGGGAATCTTTTTTACAAATTCCAAAACACTTATATATCTAATGTATTTGTGACTTTGTCAGGAATCTTTTTACAAATTCCAAAACACTTATATATCCTTTTGATTAGATTTAATACTACAATCACAGTTAGAAGCAGAAAAAATGCTTAATGTAAAACTAACATATTCAACTAAACAGCATCAAAAACATAATTATACTCAGGAATATCAGCAAAAAAGCCAGCTACTGAAATGGACAGCACAGCAGAAAAAATGACTGACTTTGGTAATTATTGTATACTTACTACTTGTTACTAATTACATAGTTAATACATGAATACACATTTCACATCTGGAAAATAACATCGATATCTTGTACTTATGTATCATAATACATAAATAAAAAAGTTATAATGTACATGATGAATACTGTTGAGCCAGAAACAAATATATTTTGATCATGTCTATAAGATATCCAACAAGCATAATAATTGCCAGCCAGAAACAGTTCTACATGTAAATTTTTATCATCATCTCTGTAAACTATTTGACGAACAATTCTATATTTTATCACCATTTTTGTAAATTTTTCACTTATAAAAGACTTGTCAAGATAATTGATAGGAGAAAAATATTATTAGGTTTTGTTTTATTTCAAATTATAAATATAGTTTGTTTTATAGTTTTCTATGGTTTTACTAATTGTATATGATATGAATCATCCATGTACATTTCAAAAAGTAAAATACTAAAAATATGTCACTGTAATGAAAGTACAGATGCACACTTACAATTAAGATCCATAAATATATGTAGATCTTTAAGTAATTCAGGTTAAATATTATTTATACACATACAATGTTACACCTTTGCCATCAAAAACATTCTTTCAAATTCCTATCTAATTGCATAAACTGAAATAATGGTACCAAAACTTTCTTCATTCCTACAGTTTTTTTGTTTTTTAAAGAACATATTTCTATATATAAAAAATACCCATCAAATGTGATTTAATGAACACTTGAAACAATTTCATATATCAATTTTGGAAAACTAGGGTCAAATTAAGTTTTAAAAGAAGTAAATGCCAATTTAATATTTTTTAATTACAACCCATCATGTTTTTTTTTTTTACATGATAGTCTTCTTATCTTTTCAACAGAAGTTAACATATTTCCTATACATAATAAGAATCAATTCTAACTTGTAAATTACAACATTCTGGATTTCTAGGATAAACTTGTCAGATTTTACAAACTGTGAATTTATGAAAAACTACAATCAAGATGCCAAAATCTATATTTTTCTATATATATATATATATATATATATATATATTATTATTTGTTGTTGTTAGTGTAGTCGTCGTAACTAACTAAAAAACTAAAGTT